CGCTTCTTCTTGAAGATGGGCACAACATTGGCCCTCTTCCAGTCCTCTGGGATTTCTCCAGAGGCCCATAATTTTTGAAAGACCTTTGCCAGGAGCTCTGCGATTACTTTGGCCAACTCTTGCAGCACTCTTGGGTGGAGTTAATCCGGTCCTGTTGATTTATATATGTCTAATTTTTTAAATTGATCATACACCAGTTCTATGGCAGTGGTGGGAACGGTGTCAATCCTGCCCTGCTTGTTCTGTGCCCTACCTGGCATGTTGTTCCCCTTGGTCTTGTGAAAGACCAAGGCAAAGTAGTAATTTAGGAGTTCTGTTTTTTCCTGAGTGGTAGTGACCAGGTATCCTGAGGCATTGAACAGTGGCCCCACACTCCCATTAGTTTTCCTTTTACTCCCTATGTAGCTAAAGAAGGACTTCTCGTTGTCCTTGATTCTTGTAGCTAGTTTTAGTTCGGTTTCTGCTTTAGCTTGCCTAATCTGTTTTCTACAAATGCAGGCCATTGTCAAGTAGTCTTCCTTAGGCCCTGTCCCAATCTTCCATTGTTTGTACGCCTCTTTCTTTTTCTGTGGAAAGGCTGCAACTTACTTGCTTAGCCAAGGGGGTTTTTTGACCCTTCTGCTACTTTTTCTCCGTAAGGGAATGGATTTTCTCTGAGCCTTAAGGATTGTATCCTTAAGGAATGACCATTCTTCTCGTGTTCCCTTTATTTGTGGTTCTTGGTCTCTCAGGGCATTCTCTACTAGTGACCTGAGCTTATTAAAATTTGCATTTTTGAAGTCTAAGACTTCGAGCTTGGTACCTGTTTTGTCAGCCTTGTGATGGACCATAAACATAATGATTTCATGGTCACTATCACCTAGGTTGCCCTCTATGTTTAAGTTGGTCACCAGGTCATCCCCTTTGGTCAGGATCAGGTCAAGAACTGCATTGCCTCTAGTTGGCCTATGCACCGCCTGAGTCAAAAAAACACTCCTCGGTGCTGGTCAGGAAGGATCGTAATCAATCCGAGCTGGCCGAGTACTCCTCCCGGGAGATGTCTGGGTTAGGGTGACGACCATGTCCTGTGCACACACGGCCTCCGTTAGTTCATGGAAAAATGCTAGATCAAGTTCCTCCCCTTGGTTAGGCGGCCAGTAGTACGCACCTACAGTCAGGTGTCTCTCGCCACGCTTCCCCTGGAGCTTGACCCAGAGGGTTTCAAGCTATTCTTCTTTGGGGCCAACATCAGCCTATAGGGAAGTGTACTGCTCTTTCACATAGAGGGCAACACACCCCCACCTCTCTTCCCTACCCGATCCCTTCTATGAAGGACCTAGCCCTTTATGGCTATGCTCCAGTCATGAGAGGAGTCCCACCAGGTCTCTGTGATCCCTACTAGATCGTAGTGCCCAGTGGAAAGCAGGGCTAATTCCTCCTGCTTGTTCCCCATGCTTCTGGCATTGGGATACAGGCACCTAAGTCCTTCTACTGAGGTCACTGGCCACTTGTTGCATTGAAGGGGAGCTGTTTTCTCAACTCCCGTAAGAGCGGCTTGCTTGGTTTCATTGTCGATGGAGCTTTCCTGTATATTGGTCCCCAGGTAGATTCCAGTTAATGTTTCCCCATCCCCCTGCAATCTTAGTTTAAAGCCATATGGGGGGCTTACACTTCAAAAGAAAGGCTCATAGTTAGCACCTAGCTCAGGGGCGCAGTGCCAAGGCAACTAGAACCTGACTGACTTTATAGCAAGCTCTGAAGATTGTGGTGGCATTAATTAGAAAGCTTGTGGTCAGTAAGTCACTTAGAGTGAAATACCAGGTTGTTCATGGTAAAGACTGTATCATCCTGTCCAGGGACAGGAATCCTGTGCTGAAGTTTGGTTGTCTGTATATTTCAAGCCCACAGCATTCAGCCTGGGGAACCTTCTCTCAACAGGATCGCTCATTCATGCACATGAATGTTTCTGCTCACACCACCAGCAGTGAGAGAGTTAACAGGCCTGGCATTTTGAATATATTCAGCCTCATTGTAGTAAGGTGGGGGAAGTTCACACTTAGGGCTCTTGTTTCTGTGTTGATGCTTGTTTTAAAAGGGTAGCAGGCTTGTGTTGGATGGGTTAGCATCTCAGCTGCAACAGTTAAAAATGTGTTCCTAAAAATACGCTTGCTTTTTGTGGATAATGTCGCAGAGACCATTATAAACCCACCACCTCCATCAGTAGTTTTCAAGTGTTCAAAGGCTTCAGGACTGCAGACTTCTAAATAGGTTCCTTGCTGCAGCACAAAATTACTATTCTACGGGAACATTTCCATTCTTAATAGTAAAGTGTGCTACTAGAATTTACTTTTCCATAGCCCATCAAGCTGAGTCTTAAACAGGTGTATTTAGTTTCTGGTGAAGCAAACTAGCACAGCCACCTGGCCATTTGGTGACAGAATTCTCTGTAAATCATTGCTCTGAATCTTATAACACCACCTCTGCCCTACTGTGTGAATGGGTCACAAGGATTCTGAGATGGTTCAGATAAGAATCATTTGGACATACGTTTTGTAACTTGAAATCTCTGTTTTAAGCCTGTGGGTTGGGTACCTGAGTTTCTACCACTGCTGGTCAGAGCTTTTTTGAATTTAACTGCTAGCCAATACTATAATCAGACCTGTATCTTAGCGAGGGGTTCTGCAAAGATTCCCCAGCACGCTCATCTGCCAGTCAATATTCTGCATAAGAGTACAGGAGATTCACACATGGCTTATTTGTAATTAATTTACAAATTGATGGCTAAGTAAGTAGAGGCTTATTTCTGCTGCAACCTGTGCTGTATGTATGTGCATCATGAGGATAGGGATGACCTAAAGGGCCAGTAAAATGTTAACACTGCTGCTTTTCACTTCAGAAAGCCAGAGACTTGTACATAGAGGAAAAGACACGGCAGCAGCTGGAAAGGGACCAGGCTTATGTGACAAAGGAGCTGCAACAGGAAGGGGCTGCATCCCGTGGAGATCCTCGGCGCCGACGAATCCTCTTGCAGAAACACACTGCCCTGCGGGAAGAGAGGATCCAGGGTTTTCTGGAGGCTCTAGAACACAAAAAAATGGACGTCCTTAAAAGACTGTGTACAGTGACAGTGTCTGCATGATCTACATGTTGGGCAGACCTTGTGAGAGGGAATGGCAACAAGGTTAGCAGTAACCCACTTACCACCCAGAGGATGTGGTTCCACCATGGTCATGTAGGACTGTTTCAATATTTTACAACCCCAGTGGCACTTCCTAAAGTGCAAGAAGCAGAGTACTATGAAGTGTTCTTGCTCTCTGGATGCCACTGAGGAAGGTAGCATGTCTAGATGTCTTCCCTCCCTGCCACTAAAGATGGAGAAAGGAATACATGCCAGGCTATATTGTTTCTGCTGCCTAGCACTTTGCAGCTCTGGGCATTTTTGTGATGAAGATGGCTAAACCTAATTTCCAACTCTGTTAGCCCCCATCATGAATTGGCTGAGGTAGAGCAGTTTTTTGGTTTGGTTCTTTTTTGTGAAACCTGCCCTGGGCCTTTGTGTCAACTGCTTATGCCACTTTGCAATGGCAGATCTTTCTGTGAAACATCCATCTAGTTAGTAACAATATAGATGAACAGCTCTTTAAATGAGATGTGCTATTCCTATTCTGGGTAGAGAACATAATTTACAACATAGAAGAGGAACATGCCAAGTTATGGGAAAGATCATCCAAAAGCCAGTTCCTTGTCATTTTTTTCCTTTATTTCCCCTCCTTGCATTTTTGCCAGTTCTTGATATACTCGCTACCAGTTTCTGAAAAGCTGTAGCAGGATGTAGGTTGCCACAACCGTATTGCAAAGAGGAAAATAAGCAGCACCTTGATTCACATTCTTGTTCCACCATCCTCTCAGCAGTGCCTAAGCAAGCAAGGGTTCATCTTGGGCACAATGCTGTTTTTGGAGGAGGTTGGGATAAGGGTCAGGGGTAGGGGAGGGCGAGACTGGCTAGGAATCTGATCTGTAACAAAAGAAAATTGTTGCAGAGAGAATGTCTCTAAAGGCAGAGAGATGCTTATCATACACTAAATCATTTAAAAATATTTCCATTCAGCTCCTGAGAGCAAACACAGCCTCAGGTCACGATGCTTTTGGTTCAAGAGAGCAGTCCCCGAAACCACCTCAGTTTAGAGGTGATGTACTAAATTTCAGCAGAGATGTTTTGGGTGGCTGAGAAGTAGTCTGATAAGGGCTAGACTCTGTTTGATACTACATTACCTGTTTTCTCATCTCCTCTGGCAGGGAGATGCATGAGCTTACCTCCTGGTTTTTTTCCATCTCTAATTTCTGTGCTTTTCTACAGACAAAATCAACTTGAAAATGTCTCCACAGTTTTTCTGAGGCACACTCAAATTCATCAGCTCTTGCTGTTTTTAAAGTGTTCCTTTTTACCTCCAGATGAAAACTAGAAAATGCAGATTTTAAAAGTCTTAAGTGCTACAAACTCAGCACATTGAATATGATTGTGAAAAGGATAATTAAGTTGTCAAACCATGAATAAAGCATTTTCATACCAAACATTTTTAAAATAAGCCCAACATTTAAAATATATGGAGCTCTTCTCTGCGGCTTAATGAAGATGACATCGAGATCTAACAAATGCCATTCCTTAACCTGTGTGTGATTCCCCACTTTATTCCTGTCAAATGGAAAGGATTAGCAGATTTTTTTTTTATCTGAGTAATTTGTGGGTATCCCAAGACCATGTACGAATAAATCGCTTTCCAGTGCCGCAGCTTATGTAAGTAGCGAATGCTGTCCTTAAAGAATGCATGGTGAAATGAAAAGGTGGTGGAAGTTGTCACTTTTTATGCCCATATCTAACTGGATTTCATTTGTGGTTTGTTTGGGTTTTTTTCCCCTTTTTGTTTTAAGAATTCTTCTGTGGAAATAGTTCTTATTCTCAGGAAGGTGTATTCTTTTGGACTCTTTTGGGGCATGTAGTCATAGCACTGAATTTACAGAAGCTGAAGTTGGGGAGCTGGGGAGGAGAGAGAGAGGAAGAAAGAGAATGAGTGTGTTCTATGTAATAATATATCTTTTGGCGAAATAAATTATATTTTCAGGTTTATGGTGGAAAGCTGGACAGTCACAGACAGTAGACATATGGCTTCTTAAGGTAAGGAAGAGACTGGAAATAGGAAGATATTGCATGCAAAGACTGTAAGTATTGTCTTTTAGGAAGTGCCTTTCCAATGAAGGTTTGAAAATGAAGCTGCAAGTCTTTTGCAAGAGTGCAACTTACCTAACTTCACAGTGGTATAGAAACCATGAAGAAAGATGCTGGATACACGTGACTGGAATGGTGTGTTGTTTGGTTGAGAAGCCCTGCTGTGACCTGTAAAGCTTTGTACAACCCTAGTTGTCTTGAGGAGAATGTTCTGCTAAGACTCAGAGGAATGAATCTGTATACCTAAAACCTGGACATGCAAGTGTAGCAAACCTGCCTCAGTGACTCTGTCTCTTTCTCAGCATGGAAGGCAGCAGACTTTACAAGTCATTTAGAATCAATAATTGTCACTGGCTCTCAAAACCCCTTAGGTTGTTTTTAATAGTTTATCTATCTAGTTTAATAGTTTATCTATTTTTTCCACACATCTTTTCTGGGTTTTAAATGCGAGACAGTAACCTCCCTCACTTGGCTCAAAAACCTACATTTCTTTTCTCTCAATTGTGTGGGTGTGTGCATGCGTTCTCGCGCGCGCGCGTGTGTGTGTATCCTACCTGTTTGTGTGTAAAGAAATCACTTTCCAGTGTTGCCGCTTATATAAGTAGTGAATACTGCCCTTAAAGAGTGCATGGTGAAAGGAAAAGTTGGTGGAAGTTGTCACTTTTTATGCCCATATCCATATAGATACAGATAAAATTCTTTTTGTGTGTGTGTCTAGTACTATATAGAAATAGTATAAAACAACAATATTGTGTGTATGCGTATATATGTATATGCACACACTATTGTGTATATGTGATTGATGGCAGAAAACTCATGTGCATGCATGTATTCTGTCTTACTGTATATCTATCTACACACGCGTGTGTAGATAATGATGCTTGTTTTGAAGTTCCCTAAGAAGCATCCGACCCACATCTCATACCCTGGTACCACAAGAGAGAAAACGTACAAGTCCATGGTGTTTGGGCCCTTTCACCAGGATGTGGCGGTGTCACCTGCAGGGCCGCTTCCCTGCCTTCTGGTCCCTGGCTGAGAGATTTCTCCTAAAATCGCTAAGCAGGCAGTTTTTGGTTTGGGGGGCTTTTTTTCTTTGAATGGGGTCACTGTCTAGCATTTCTCCCTGGGTGCAGAATCTCACTGCTTGGCCTGGATGCCTGGGCTGGTGCTACTCTGGAGCCCCCCCCCAGCTCGCTGCTCCTAGGGGCTGGTGCTGAAAGAACAGCTCCTCCCCCCACACCTCCCCGGGCCCTTGCCCCTGCTGAGCTTGGGGGGCTCCTCTGCAGTGCCATCGCCCTTCTGCCAGGCTGCCCCCACAACCCCAGGTGGGAAGGTGCATTGGGGCCTTGCAAGGGAGCAGGCAGGGCTCCATCCTCATGCTCAAATCTCGTGCACGGAGCCCTGGCGGGGTGCAGGGAGGTGGATCCCACCCTCCTATGGGGTCCCGCTTGCACCCAGCTGCTTGCAGGGAGAGGAGGGGGCAGTAGGCGGATGCGCGCGCACCTCCCTCCCCGCTGCCTCCCCCGCCCCTCGCTGCTGGGCCCCGCCCCACGTGACCCGCGCCGGCCAATGGGCGGGCGGGGCGGTGGGGATCCGGCTGGAACCGGTTGGGCCGCGTCCGGCTCTATATAAAACTTTATAAACACCCGATTCAAAGCAGTGGGGTCGGCAGCCCGAGCTGTGCGCCCACCCGTCCTCCCGCACCGCCGCCCGCCCCGCACCGAGCTCGCCCGCCCGTCGCCGCCATGCCCAAGAGAAAGGTACGCGGCCTCGGCCTCCCCGCGGCCCTGAGGCGGAGTGTGAGGAGACGGCGGCGGGGGGGAGGGGTAGAGGAAAGAGCGGAGCCGGCGGGGCTTCATTAATTTTCTTATTAATTTAATTTTATTTATTTTTTGTACCTCAGGCTGCGGGGTGCGATGGGGGGAGGGGCGCGTCCCTCCGGCAGGAGGCCCCAACGGTCGCGGGGG